TACTTGCCATCGAGCGTTCTAAACCTCTACTCCAGAGATTTCATGTGCCGGTGTACAACATGCGAAATGTGCGAAGCATCGCTGGTGCGAAGCATGAGCGACATGCGTGCCCTGAGTTGCAGCTTCAGGTTTGTGGGGTGGTCGGGAGGGGTGGATCCACCTGGTGGCCTTGCGCGCGAAACACTCCTGACAAATGCGCCCTTGTCATTCCGTATGGGCTTGATACCTTGCATGTGCCGCCTCTTTACAGCTAATTAGTTGTTCAGGGGAAGCGCGTGCAGTCTCAAATTCACCAGATTGTCCTCTATCGGTCTACTGCTTTCTTTTCATGCCCGTGCCTGTGCCAACTGTGAGGCCAGCATGTGGCCGCGGCTCTGCGTAACTACTGGAGCAGCGAGCGCAGCGGCAATGGCGGCAACATTCCGGAATCATACACCCGATTCACCCTGGCTTTGTTACCGCTGCTCACATCGCACGGCATGAGCCTCAAAGATGGCAAAGCCTCAGAGCTTCTCCCGTTTGCTGCTCTGCTATGCTGGGATCAGGTGGTGGGAAAGCTGTTGGACTTGAGTGCTGATCCGTCATCGACGATGGGTCGAAAGAATGCTACGGTCTGGGCCACCACAAAGTGCCAGGATGATGACCGGCAGCGCATCAATGGCCTGGTCGAGGCCAAGGTCCGGCAAGCAAGCAGCTGAGTGCAAATGAGTAACTTGTGCGGATTCAACTGTCAAACGGCCCAAAAGTTGCATGTGGCGGAGGGAGAGTTGGGAGCACGTTCCAGCGACTGTTGAGATTGCATTTGTGCCGACGGCGAGGGTAGGGGCCGGACTGGGCACACGTTCTGGATGTGCTTCTGCAGCCGTTCCCTGGCTCAAGACTAAGCCTTTTCCCTGGCCTGCAGGCGTTGCAGGTCCTAGCATCCAGAATCATGTTGTCGACCAAACTCTCGAAGCTGCTTGGCAGGCTTATGAGTAAGAACACTTGCAGGGCCATGACAGGAGAGCGTGGCACAGGGAGCTGGGAAAGTTATTCTGCAAATCATCTCAGGGCAGTATTGGTAGCGCCACTATAGTGAGTTGCACTGAGCTTCGGATCTAAATAGCGTATTCTTGTGAAGTTGATTCGCGCAGAAGGCGTGTGCTGAGAGGTACCCGTAGGTAGTTGAGCTGTGCACGGACAAGGAGCCTTTGTGGAGGCACGTTTTTAGCTCGTTGGTGGAAAGCAGTTTGGCAGTTCTGATCTCAATTAATTCCTTCCGCAGTTGCCAATGCAGTTTGTTTGTTTGACCTTGCAGTACCCTGTCCCTCAGTAAGGATCTGCCTGGTGCTTATTCCGATCTTGCAGAGCCTTCGGCCAGAGATAGCAGAGCACGGCTGGAGCAACTCCAGCATTCAGTGCCAAGTGCCCGGATCTTACCCATCCACGACGAGCAACGAAGCGTGCATGTGCGACGTGGAGTTGGGACCAGGATGTGGAGGTCTGAGCGGCATGCAACACTTCTATCCAGCGGAGGTTCCTAAGTCAAAGGGACTATTGGGACGTTTATTCTCGACGCCCAGTCCCGATTGCCGCAGCCTTAGCTGCCTAGCCTTAGCAAGGGTTGTCAGTGTGCATTTAAACAGTTTTCAAGCCTGTTGGTCGACCATCTGGCGACCCAATCTCAGGCAGGTGCGTCACGGCCATGGAGATGCGTTTAAAGTCCCGCGAGTACGGCATCTACAACATAAGGAACGATGCGTTGAGGTTCTGTGCAGGCTTGTACAGCATGATTGAAGAACATATCGACAGCGACCTCTCTGATGGCAAAGTTAGACAAGAGTTGGCGTGGGCGGCCGGGAAAGCACTGCGTCACCCGAAGGTTAAAACCATCTGCCAGACGGCTCTCACAGGCGATGTGTCCACAGAGACAGCGGATAGAGAGCTTGTCAATCAGGAGAAGGCTCAGACGCCAGTTCCTACTAGCGAGACACGAGTTGTGCAGGTCATGGGGCCTCAGAATGCAGAGACTTGGCAAGAACTTCTGAAGTCAGTGTGTCGCTACGAGTGCCACGAGCTTGTGGTTAAAATGAAAGAGTCCTCATATGACATTGCAGGAGAGGTTGCATCAAGGGGAGGTTCCATTCCCGAACGATGTTCAAACCTGGTGGTAAGCAAAGTCGAAGCAGAGATTCTTGGCTGCTGTGCGGAGTCCTGCGGCTGGGACGGCAAGATGCAGACTTGCCGGTACTGGCCCTTTTTCAATCAGGAGGAGCAGGGTGGTTGGAACGAAAGATGCTGCTCCGAAGACACCATCCTGCGGATGTCTAGCCGAGAGGTCATGTGCAACAGTGTCAAGCCGGAAGCGGAGCGGAAGAAGTTGGAGGAGCACGACCCGACACAAGCTGTCGAGCCTCGTGATGCCCAGCTCGTCTCCCAGGACTTCAAGCCCTCGCTCCTGCAAACAGCGAAGTTGCAAGACAAAGAGACGAGTGGCGTCGGCGATTGCAGTGACCTGCACAAGGCATGCCCAAAAGACGACAAGGAAATGCATATGAAACACTGCAAAGAGAAAGAGGCAGGAGAGTGGAACTACATGGCGAGCGGACGTCACCTCATGTTGAGCGAGGTGGACTGTGTGACTGAGATCGACAATATCGAGAAGACCTCTCCCGAGAAGTGCCTGTCGAAGTTGAAGGAAAACCAGGGCATGCGGTCGGCATCGTGGCAAAGTGGAACGTGCCACTTGGTAAAGGCGTCGTGTGCAGAGGCTTCACAATATGACAAGGATGTGCAGAACGACTTCTCGGATGCAACCCAGGTGGTGCTGTTCAAGCTCGCGGCTAGATGACTCACGTGCCTTTGTGCATGTCTTTGTTGGCAGGGCCAGCATGACGCCAGCATACATTGCGCGATAGGGCAAAAGTAAGGGTGGCTGGGCAAGCTTGCACCCTGCTTCCCGCGTTGTTCAAGAACTTGGCATGCCCGCGCTCAGTAGATGTTCCCTTTATGGATTGATTTCAGGTCTGGCTCTCGGAACTGACAATGTTTCGCAAACTCATGTGCAACCCAACATTCAAACCCAAGAATTCGAGAAGGCCAAGGCAGAATGCTGTCCGAACAACCCGATGCGAAATGCCCATCGATACTTCAGCCGCTGTGCTAAAAAGCACAGGTCCGCGTGCGGGTTTACGGTATAGAGTTTATACGCTTTAGGGTTCAGGGTTTAGGGTTTAGTTCCGCAGTGAGCTTCTCCAAAATTACGATGCTGGGTTGAGAACCCTCAAGCATTTCCTGTGCCAGCACTGGCAGCAGCTAGCAAGAAAAAAAAGACTCGGTCACGCAAAAGGTGCCTCAAAACCCCCCTCCTGTCCTGCTGTCCGTGCATGCACGTGCAGCTGTTATCAACCTGGAAATGTCCTTCTACCAACGGCTGCTTTCCCGCCATGTTCCCCAGAAACTTGCAAAATTCCATGAGTTTGAACGACATTGACGGAAGGAATCCGCCTTACATGCTTGTGTTTTTGCATCCTTGAACGTTGACTGGTTCACCGGCCTAGCATGGTAAAAGTTGTTTGCGTCTGTCGGTACGAAAACAACAGGCATGGAACAGTGGGCGGAGAAATATGAAGAAGCCACAGATGGATAAAGAGTTGAAGCTAGGCGAGCTTCTAGAACGTCATGATGTCGTGAGGATGGTGCACGTGCAGCTGCGGTTGTCTTGCGGGTTCCGTGTCGTGGAAGTTGAGGGGCAACTGCACATTCCTTTGCTCCAGCGTGTTGCGAAGCTGCTACAGTGGCACTTGGAGGACGTCACTCAAGGGATCGGAGACCTTGAGCTTGAGCATGCGTTAAAATTTGTTAAAAGATCGTGTAGCAGAAGCAAAGCACAAGGTGCAGCAACTCGGCATGAGAAGGGTGCTGATGCTGGTACGTTTTTCCTCGAGCCATACGCCAGATGATCTCCAGCTTTGCTGGAGCTTGAGCGAGATTTCCGTCTGCTTCATCCTCAGCTATCCGGAGGGTAGCAACGGGAGTGGCAGCGTCAGCGGCACCGTCGACGCTAAAGCGCCAAATGAAAACGCTTGCTTGTCAGCCCAAACATAGTCTTTTTTAGCTAAACAGCTCCAAAAGAGTGTCTCAAGTCCTGATGCATTTCAGTACGAACTGTCCTTGGGTCTCCCAAACCTTAACCTTGATGCAGCCGTGGTTGCCGTGGTTGCAGTCTGTGGAGGTTGGCGAAGCTGGAACTCGGAGAAGCAGCATGACTGGCGGAAGGGCCATGGAGCTTTTTTCAATCCTTCAGCTCTTGTGAGAAGTCTTGCGGCTATCGGAGTGATGCTGGGCTGGCACTCAGTCCTGTCATTTCTTGCATCAGCGGAGGCTGATGGACGGGCAAAATCAAGTCCACCTCACGTCATCGTGTGATTTGTACCGTCCGCCTTTCTGGCTTTACCAGCGGTAATGAGCAAGAGCTCTGGCTGTAGCTTCGGGCTGAACCATGATTTCACATCCAGTATGCTTTCAGGGTTCGACGGCATGTCAAGGCGCAGCTGCGACAAAGCATCCAAGAGGCAAATGCCAGAAGAGGGGTTCATGTCTGGTCTCTAGGGTAGGGGCCCTTTGGCTTGCACTTTGCCGCGTGGCATCTAGTCCGGGACCCGGTGGCTGTCACGAATGGGCAATGGGTTTTCTTAAGCTCAGGGGACGTTGCTTTCAAGGTTCTGGCATGAAGGATCCGACTACTCCCAGATCAGTGCGGTTGGTGTTCGGACCTGACAGGTTTGAGGTGTGCAAGGCTATCACTAAGCGGGCTTCAACTCGGTTCCAGTCACCGCGATCCACGAAGTCCGTCCGCCCCAAACCGAAAACCCTAAACTCTAAAGCCGGCTCCATTCCGCCGCCAAACCTTCCCTGACTTGAGTCAGCTAGAAGCCTCGGCAAGCTGCAAACTTGAAACGGCTGAAATCCGGATGAGCTAACACTGAGCTCCATGCAGAAGGTTACCATTCGTTTTGAAGATGGAACGCAGTTGGAAGCCCAGACTGTGGGTGTAGGCTTCAGCATGAGCTACGCAAGGTCCGTCTGAGAGTTTGGAGGAGGGGCTGCGGTTTGCACATGCAGATTTGTTTATCCGCTTCGTCTGGTCGTGATATGTGTCAGTGAGGTTTCTCCGACGCTGCACTCCCCTTCAGTTTTGCCTCTCGGGCAACTCTCATTGAGGTACCACCGGAGAGGCGGAGATGGAGGTGCGTGCTGCGGCCGTACTGCAGAAGCATATCGCCTTGGTGAAGGGTTGAAGCCATGCAGGCCACGAAACAGACTTATTACTTTTGGTCTGGTGCAGCGTGGCTGAAGCCTTGTAGAGGGACGTTCCGAAAGCTAGCTCGCGACACGTGATCCTGCCAAAATCTCCACAGCGCTACGTCTTGGACACCGCGTAGGCCAGTCTTCAAGTTCAATAGCCTGCGTGGATCTTCCAGAGGTGGATGATGTGGAGTGCAGCAAGTCGGCCATCAACCAATGGTCCGTCGTCAAGCCGTTTGGCGGCTGCTGGAGCCTCGGTCCGTTGTGTTGTGCTGTGCTGTGTTCCTGCTTTAGATGCCAGGGGAGGGACTTTGAGCCTTCCAAACTTCGACTGTTTTTTCGGGAGTCTGTGGCGAGTTGTCCCAGAACGTAAAGAGGCTCTTCGTGGAGGCTCACGGTTTCAGTGGATGACGCAGCCCTGACCCCGCAAATGGGCGAAAGACTGGGCATCGGGATGTGCAGCTTCCCAGGAGACTCTCGGAACGGAAGGGCTCCCAGGGAACACTCATGTCGACGTGTGCCTCAGAGCAGCCACCGAGACCCCTGACATGCGTACTTTCATCTCTTGGCCCTGAGTCAGAACTGCTTTGCAGATGCTTAGCTCAATTCTACGGCACCTTCCGACTCTCCCAAACCGCTGAACCCCAAACCGGTCATTATGGCCATCGGGATCTGATATCAACGCTCGCAGTGTCCTCTGGTGAACTCGAACTCGAATGCGATTTGACTTTTTCCGGTTGTTGGACTTGGGGCCGTAGTCGAAGCTTCACTGCCACGACTGCTTCGGACTGAAGGCCGAGGCATGTGCTCTCGGAGCTCTCGGACCCTGCTACCTTCCCATATGAAGACACCCAGGACCCAGAGGCTTTTTCACTCGGTTCTTCGCATCAAGCCAGGTCAACCGCCGAAGCAACGATCGCTGCATGCGAGCATCGTCGTCGGCGATTGCCTCTACATCTTTGGAGGGTGCTCTCTGTGGGGGGGGGCGGTTGCCACAAGACGGGCATGTGCCGCGCCGCGTGTCCTTCATGGCATAGCACATCGATCCTACATTTTTTGTGCCACGAGATGTCACCCTGCAATGAAGAGGTACGATGGTAGCAGCAGGGTGAACGACTTCTACAAGTTCAGCTTCAAGGAGCCGTCCGAGTTGTCGCACCAAGCCCTCCTGAGCTGACATCGCAGCTCTGAGCTTGCAGGCTTCGAAGTGGTCGCAGATTCACCCTGCAGGTGGGCCGACGGGCTCAGAGTTTAGAGGTCTGGGGGTGTCTCCATGATGCGTGCGCCAGTAGGCTGGGGTTCTTCTCAACACTACGTAGTTGTTAGTCGGTGGATGTTGGCCTTCAATTTCACTCCGAAGACGTGTCCTTTTGCACATCTTGTCCGAGGTTCGCCTTGCAGAGGTCCGAAAACACTCGCAAGCCTCAATGTCGGTGCACCCGAGCCCGAGATTCCCGAACCAGAAAAGGAACCTTTCCCATGGCATTCATCGCCGAGTTCCTACATCTGCAGTTGGAAGCAGATGTAGGAAGCCCGAAGCCCTGAAGTCCATCAGCGGAACCTGAAGCCACCGTCCCTCAAACACTCCCTACAATTTCAGAGATCCGAGCTCCAAAGTCTAAAACCGCTCGAGCAGTGCAGGGAGTAGCCCGACGGCGCGTGACCGGCACGTTGTCGTGCGGGGCGCCCAAAGGAACATTCTGCAGCGGCGCTTCTCTCATAGCTTTTGGCTTTCTCTGCTGCTGCTGCTGCCTTGATGTTGCAAGCTGCAGTTCCGCGGTCGTGTGGTTGAGGGGCCTGCTACACTCCAACATTCCTGTAGCCAGAGTGGCAACAAGACGGTTTTACCCTCTCTCTTGGAACACCTCAGAATATTTTTGTTGCTTTCTTTTTCCTGAGGTCCTATGCCGAGAAAATCTACATCTTCGCGGGCTACGACGGCAACAACCGTGTCAACGACTTCTGGCAGTATGACACCGAGCACGAGGCCGAAGCCACTTCTGGCAGAAGGGTGGTCGAATTTAAAGAGGTTTTTTTGTTTGGGTGGGACAAAGGGGGGGGGGGCGCGCCTAAGTAATTTTTGGGGTTTAGGGTTTAGGGGGGAAAGGCTTGGTTTTTTTAGGGTTAGGGCTTTTCTGAAAGTTACCCTTCGGAGCCTGGCAGAGCCAGGTGTGGAGCACGGTGGACCCGGCCCTGGGGAACCCACCAACTCCGCGCCACAGCCGGATCCCCAGCCCGATGTTTGTTGGCTTCCTTTCATGGGTTCTCGTGGCCCTCTTTTCGGAAGGCTGGTGTGGCCTATGTTTGTGTGTTTGCGCAGGCCTGTCGATGAACACTGATAGGTGCTTCCGCCTGGAAACTCCAAGTGTGTTGCGTCACCCTTCCTCCTTGAGCCTCAAGCTCCACGGGCACAAAGAGCCGGGCTCTTTCAACCGCTCCCTTTGATGCCCAGGCCACTCCGGGGTCGAGTACGACGGCTCCATGTACATCTTCGCGGGTTACGATGGGAACTACAGGAGCCCGGGCCGGTGGAGCGCAGTGTGGGTATTTTTGGCCTGAAAGGTCCAGGGGAGCTGTGGAAGGCTTCGCAGGCTTCATTTCAGCTTTCAACCCAAAGCTGCCCGGAGGCAGATTTTGGTTGGGGAGGTAGAAGTGAAAAGCGGGGGGAATCCCCTTCTCAACCCAAAGCCAGAGGCAGGTTTGAGTTTGGGTTTGGGTTTGAGTGGCACTTAGGGTTTAGGGTTTAGGGTTAAGAGGCTCGAGCTCAGGGTCCTTGGGTTGGGGCCTGCAGGATTCAATCACGGGTAGCCAGAGAACCCAATACCCTTTTAATTAAGGAATATATACCTTAAATTATAAGGACCCTCTATAGTATGATTTCAGGTCTATTCCTTAGTTAAGGGGCATTGGGTTCTCTGGGTAGCCTGATCAGGAGAGCCCTGACGGAAGAGAAGCGGTTTTTACGGACTAGAGCCCGGCTTTGGCCTGAAACTCCCACGATGCTTCAGGTTTTCAGGTAAACCAAGTATACTCCGCAACAAGAACCATAAAGCAATAAGAAAGAATTGCGTCTTTCAGTCGGCAGAAGGCATGGCCCTCGCCCGTCACCCTGGCGAAAAAATCATTTTCGGGTGGCTCATTCGGGTGACTCATGTGATCCTTTGCCCTAAGTCTAAGTAGTAGGATCCAGTGATGAGGTTTGTGTCACCATCCTGACAACATCAAGCCACATGAGCACTGTCGTCTCTGTCCCGTTCCGCGCAATGCAAGGAGCGATTTTCACCGCTACAACTTCCCGCAGCGGAAGTGGCCCAAAGCCTAACATCCTGGCTTGCAGCATTCTGAACTTGGAAGGTCTTCGGCTTGATATGGGGTAGTTCTCTACATTAGTTTAGGTCCCCAAGATAGTTTTAGGCACCCTTTTAAAAGGGACCCTAAAACGGACCCTAATTTAGAAAGCTACCCATGTAGATCTTTCGCGGTGGGGTGCGGGAGACGAAGGAGACCCGTGGAGACATCAAAGGGGGACGGACCCAGAGAACCCAATACCCCCTAATTAAGGAATATACCTTAAACTCTAGGGGCCTTAGTATTATGATTCAAGATATATTCCTTAATCAAGGGGTATTGGGTTCTCTGGGGAAGGGAGATGGAATGCTGAGACGGGGGTTGCGCTGAGTTGCTTCCGCGGTGTGTGCGGATGTGAAGATGCGATTTTTCCGGCCTTCCGAAGGCGGGTCTTTGAGGTATATATATATAATATAATATAGTATAATACAATATAATATGATATAATATAGTATAATATAATATAGTATAATATGTGTCAAGACGCAACTTCCCTTGAGTTTGGGGCTTAGGGAGAGCCCTTATTCCAAGCCCTGCGACTCAACGTAGAGCTTCAAAAAACTCCTCCAGCGCCAGGCAGCCGTCTTCAGGAGCCTTCAGATAGTGCTTCATGTAGCATATCAGCGCACATGTATTATAGCCTTTATAGTATATCATAGCATCGTTTCGTGTACTATGGTGCGTTATTAGTACATGATAGAGTATTCTAGTAGAATATAGAATATTATGGAAGTAGGTTATGCTTACAGTCTCATATAATATAGTTATGATTAACCTCCTTTGGAGCCCTTCCCCCACAAAATGTTGAACCGAGGGGGTTTTTTCCCCCCCCCAAAAATCCCCCCAATAAAGACGCGGAAAGCATATATTTTTATCCCTACTGTCACTCTTGACCTACCTTTGGTTAGTAGGGAATGGAAGAATGGTAGTAATGGTACTTAGAATAGTTCCCATCCCTCCATTCCCTACTAATTAACCAAAGGTAAGTTGAGGGATCTTGCAGGCCTGGCTCTTGCTCCATCCAGGCCTGGCTCAAGAGACCCCCGAAATCCTGGCCCTGGCCTTTGTTTCCTCGGCTCATGCTGCGTCCCTTGCTTTTTTGCTTTTGCTCTGATTCCTGCTCTTCTTCTTGCTCTTGCTCTTCTTCTTGCTCTTCCTCCTGTTTTTTGCTCTTACTCTTGCTCTTGCTCTTGCTCCAGCTCCTGCTCTTGCTTTTGCTCTCGCTCTTTCTCCTACTCTTGCTTTTGCTCTTGCTCTTGCTCTTACCCCGGCTCTTGCTCTTGCTTTTGCTCTTGCCAAAGACTCCTGCTCTTGCTTTTGCTCGTCCTGCTCTTGCTCTTTCTGGTTCTCTTGCTTTTGCTCTTGCTCCTCCGGCTCTTGCGCCCTATTGCAAATTGGGGGGCCAGGATTTCGGGAGGAGGGGCCCCGAAATGTTTTATGTTTTGTTTTGGCGGTGTTTATCTTTTAGTAATCGTTTACTAAATGGGGGAAGTGATTAAAGTTAAGAGGAACCTGATGGAAGCCCGTTTGAGCCCGTCTCAGGTCCATAGTGCCTGTCAAGGGATCCGTGCCCAAGGCACGCTACAGGACATCGGCCGTGGCGTGCCCTGGAGCTGTTTAGAGTTTAGGGTTTTGGGTTTAGGTTGTGCCTTGGATAGGAGACGTTCAGAGAGCGAGGAATCCCCTTTAAGAGAAGCTGAGAAGACCTCTGACCCCCAATTGGAGATGTTGGAAGATGGAGCCTTACATAGGGCTCCACTTCAGGTGGCATCCCCACATTTAGGGCCCAGGCTAGATTTCCTGTACTTGCTGAAGCTCACAAGACAAAGGACCTTCATGAAAAGCAGAAGCAGTGAGTCTTGCTTTCGAGTCGGTCAGAGGGGACCCTCTAGATGTGCAGCGGTGAAGCCGAGCGGCTCAGAGTTGTAGAGGCACCCCTGTTCTAGCGTGATTTGGGACTTTCCGAAGATTAGGGTACCCTATTTTGGGGTCGTTATAATGAGGGTCCTACTATTTAGTAGGGTCCCCTATTTTCCGAAACCCCCATTTGTTGAAGACGACCTGTGTGCAGTATTCCCTCCGCACAATCAAAACCAGGTATCAGGATTTGATCGGGCGTAGAGAAGCTTCTTCCTGATGTGTGTTACTATGTGGTGATGACCTCCCGCCAATCTAGCCGAACCTCATGTTTTCATGTCAGTGGCACTGCTCTTAAGTTGGTTTCATGGACAGCCTGCGAGGTACAAGAATCGTATGCTCGTGGTCGGTGGGCATGACGGTGCCAAGCACTTGAACGATTTCTATCAGCTGCTTGGCGACACTCTTCAGGCCTGCTGCTGGCCTTCGCCGAAAAGAAAACCCCAACACTTAGGGCAGAGGACCTAGGCCCTAAGATCTTTCTACAACTGATTCCGAGTCCGTGAGCTTGGCGAAGCCAGCCGAGGTTCAACTTCGATACGCTCGAGTGGTCGTCCTCAGGGGCCCAAAGAGGGATTTGTTTTGGTGGTGGAATGCTTCTCAGCAGTATTTCCTGACATCGTCTCTCTCCTCTATTAAAAATATTCCCCCAAGACCCCTGCTCTAATTATTCAGGCCCCCATCTTGCGCACTTCGCTTCAGGCTTCGGCAAAAGACACATCCCTCATCCTTACAAGGATTTTATCTAGAGGCACAGGCGAGTGGGTGCGGCGGAAACCCTTCGGGGTGTCCGAAAGTCTGGAAGGTCCATGAACATGGCTTGTTCTGACCCCCCCCCCCCTCCCCAATTTTTCGAGGACCAGCACCCACGCTGCACACCTAGCAACTGACACCCTTAAAGAAAAGGGAGAGGGTTACTGTAAGGCTATGAGGGTTTCTACGAGGCCTTGTCTTTTCAAGGGATACTCTCAGTGTGACTGGAGACCCACGCTCTCCCGCTGTGATCATCAAGGCCGCAGTCGCCATAAGATCACGAGCACTACTGTAGAAGTCCGAGAAGGAGCATGCAAGGCAGGCAATTGCACAGATTCCAAAAAGCCCTAAACCCTGAACCCCAAACTCTAAACCCCCAAACCCGAAACCCGGTAACCCTCGGCCCCGAGCCCCGAAGCCCTACATGTAGCCCGCTCCGGAAACCTGCAGCGGAGCTTGTTCCCGAGTTTTCTGATAAATTAGCCATAGTATTCCTCAGGGTTCCTCATTGCTTTTTTCTGTAGTGTCGACCAAATACCCCACAACCCCCCTTCGAAGGCTTTATTGTCAGACCCCTGCTGCTAACCCTAAACCCTAAACCCCTTCAAAGGAGCCCCTCTGCCCCCTAAACCCTAAACCCGAAACCCTAAACCCTAAACCCTAAAACCCTAAACCTATAATTAGCTACTTGCTGCCATGACAAGCCGACTCCGGCCTGGTTCGCAGCCTCTGGCGCTGAGCTTCTCCTCCTCGGCCCTTCTCTTCGTGTATCAGGCCTCCTGAGTCCTACCTTTGGTTAGTAGGGAATGGAAGAATGGTAGTAATGGTACTTATAATAGCCCCCATCCCTCCATTCCCTACTAACCAAAGGGAAGGAGTGCTGGGGGCCGGGGGGCGTTTCCCAGGGTCCAGGGCCGAAGAAGGGGCGGTTTTCTTCTGTGCCCTCTGAGTTTGGCGGACCGGGTTTGGGTGCACAGGCTTAGGAGGGCTAGGTTTGAAAGGGGGCTCATGCTGGATGCAGGCCCGTAACCTGCAACATGTGGCGCATTACCTCTGAGCATCGCTCCGGACCCACCCCTGCTTTTTTTTTTTGTGTGACTCTTTCCATCGACACTCTTTGCCCTAAACCCTAAACCCTAAACTCTAAACCCTCTAAACCCTCTAAACCCTAAACCCTACTTGAGTTTTTTCCAGGCCGGCGTGGCCGAGACACTTCTTGCCTGCCAGCGCTTTAAAGGCGATGTGGCGGCCGTGCACGGTGCGGGATCCCGGGCAGTTAGGTGTCTCTGGAGACGAGTGACTGCTGGGTTCTTGTTGAGGGATTATATTCTAAGTTACCATAATAGGGATCTATAGTAAATAATACGGTTTCATTATTGTGGTAACTTGAATTAAGTGACTACCCATAGGCTCCAAAGCAGTTCCTTTCTGTGGGTTTTTGTTGTTCAGAATCCTATAAGGTAACCCCAAAACGAACTACTTTGGAGCCTATGGGTAGTACAGCAAGCCCTACATCAAGCGGTTGCCTTTGCACCAAGGCCGTTTCTAGACATGCACACAAACTAAATCAACGTCTACAAACTGATGGGCAGACAGGTACATATGGTACGATAAGATACTGTACGGAAGGCCTGTCTACAAATGCATACATACCTAGGACATACACATCATGAGCAGCAATAAGCATTATGTACATACTATGCAGGTGCAACTTTGCATGCCCGTTTGGGGGTGGTGGTTCCTGCACCAAGGCGGGCAAAAGACCACAGCGGAGAGAGCACAGCTTGTGTTGGTGAGAGGGAACCTCCGCAGCAGCTTAAAACCCTTGACCCTTGCATAGCGTGGCATGGCCAGCACCGAGTCGAATTTCCCCTAGGCCGGAAGCTCTCAAGGCCCGGAAAAGCCCCCAAGGGGCTGTTCAAGGCCCGGAAAGCTCCCAGGCTCCAGCGGAGGCGCGTTGGTTGCGGCGCTGTTTCTCTGCGGCCGCGAAGCCTTGACCAAGACGAAGGAGCTGGGGTGCGTTCTTTCTCCCCCTTTTTTTTGCGAGGGCTCAGCGGCTAACATCCGGCAGGCTAGTAGGAATCCGGAATTCTCCTGTTGTCAATGCCGGTTCTGCTCACGGCTGAAGCGATGCACATGGCGGCTGTTTCAGATTCGGTTGCCGCGTATGACCCATGGGACCGGACCCGAGCAGCAGCGCTTAGGCACACGTCGGATGACATGCCACATGAGGTCACACATGCCCACACCCATCCACACACACACGCACATCTATATATTTATATATGTATATATACATATGTATATGTATATGTATATATATATATACATATACATACACACACACGTACATACATACATACGTACACACACACACACACACACTGCAATAGTGCCTTCGCCAAGAGGAGAGGGAGGAGACGGATGAGAAAAATGTTGCGTTTTGATGGTCGCGCACCTGTATGTACGGTGCAAGATACGGCGAGGGGAGGTCTGATATCCATCGGCGACCAACAGAGGAAGCTTCGGAGAAGAATATTACCAGGCGTTTAGAAGCACATCCTCAGTTACTCCGAGCTCAAAAAGACCTTGCTGTCGAGAGTCAGGGCAGGTTGTCACCTAGCTCTTGGGGAACAGGATAGACCCTAAATCCACCCTACGCCATGCCCCTGTTTCTTGTTTTTGAAGCCGGAAACCCTTTTATGGCGTGAGTCCTGTCATGGGTAGCTCGTATCTTCATCTCCAATGCTGTTCTTGCATTTGAAGGTCGAGCCCCGGCCCCCAAGCCTCACCCGAACCACGGCCAGGCATATGGGGGTTTCCGAAAATAGGGGACCCTAATAATATAGTACCCCAAATAGTAGGATCCTTGGTATAAGGACCCCAAAATAAGGAACCACGGCCAGGCATATCTGAACTCTGGGAAGCTCTTTCAGAACATTGGCTTGGCAGCGCCTCGCACTGGAAGTTTTGGGGGCTTTCTGTCGGGTGGGAGCTTCGGGATCCAAGGTCTGCCAGGACAGGTATAGGGGTTTCAAACGGTTTTCAGCTGGAATCCGGAATCCTTGGGTTAAAGAACAAGGGACCTTTTACCTTCGATCCGTGAAGACGACGTGCGGACGATGTGCGTAATGAGAGTTTCGTCGTTTAGGGCGTAGAGTCGCGTGCCAGAGAACTACGAAGTTTTCTCAGCAAGCGGCAAACACCAGGTGGGCTACGAGTTTGCAACTAGCTGCGACGACCATCATATCACGACGACCTGTAGCTGCTATAGCACAGAGTTCTGCTCCACGCGAAGAGAAGCGTTCCTCTCATTTGTTTTTTACAATGGTTTCACAGGGGTTCTACAAGGATCGCTATAACGGAGACTTGAGAACTTGAGGACCTTTTTCACGGTTTCTTTATGGGTGTTTGTGAGCGTTTCTAGGGTTCTACAAGGGACACAACCCGGGATCGTAAGCACGTAGGCCGCAACACATCCACTCTCAATCGGAAATTTTCATAGAACCCAAAGGCTCCCCATCCAAATCCCAATCCAAAGCAAGTAAGCAAGCTCGACGAGACTGTGTCATAATGCATTTTCTCTTTGTAAGGAGATCTAGGCCCTTGTAGATTATTTTATTGCCCCAAATCCTAAACCCTAAACCCTAAACCCTAAACCCCAAAACCCTAAACCCAAAACCCTATAAACCCTAAAGCCCCAAACCCTATAAACCCTAAAGCCCTAAACCCTATAAACCCAAAACCCAAAACCCTAAACCCTATAAACCCTAAACCCTCAACCCTAAACCCTATAAGCCCTAAACCCTAAACCCCTCCTCGAAGGATGTCTGGGATCCCGCCCGGCTGATTCCTCGGGCAGTGGAAGCTGCTCGGCTCGCTTTTCCATGGTGCTCTCTTGCAGCAACCGTCGTAATAGTAATAGTAACAATAATAATCACAATAATAACAATAACAACAACAATAGTAATAATACTAATAATAATAACTTAATAATAATAATACTAATAATCATAACAATGACAACCTTCGTCGTCAGGTTGGTCGTCGTCCCTGTAGCAGGCGTTGCGTGATATGGTTGTTGTAGTGGCAGTGGGTGTTAGTCGTTGGGCTGTTGCCATGCTGCTGCTGGTGATGCTGGTGGTCGTGGTGGTCATGTCGTGGTCGTAGCAGTGCAGCAGCAGGAGCAGCAATAGTACTCGATATCGTGGTGGTAGCAGCATGCAGTAGCGGTATGGTGGAAAGTCAAGCCATGAACTTGGATCTTACATCTTCCAGAGTTTCTGCGTGTTGCCACCCTCCTCGAAGCTCGAGGCCCCGTCCTTGGCGGATGGGAGCCGTAACTCCCATAAGGATCTCCGAAGCTGTGTAGGAGTCCGGCAAGGAGTCCGGCGCGCTGCCCGAAGATGCCCATGCTAGACTGTCCGGCAAGCTGCACGTGCAGTGCACACGGGGCGGCATGATGACCTCCGCCGAGCCAGCGGCGCCGACGCAACCTGAGAAGTCAGGAATTTTGAGGTTCTTCAGACAGGCAAGGACGAGAGGTTCCTTCCAGCGCTAGGGATGCGGTACTTCGGAGTGATATGTTGGATGGGGGGGTTCAATGAGGATGCGGTTTGTGTGAAAGGTTTGTCCATACAAAGATTGAAGCATGATTTCGTGATGTTGAAGTGTGGACTGACTTTTTGGCCGGGTTCGTGGAGACTGGGTTCAGCGACGACTAGATGACTAGATTCTCGCACATGCATGGATCACACGCCGTTACGCCCCAGCTCCCGGTGGCATAGGCAAAGACGCTTGATCCAAACAGTCAGCTTCGAGGTGACCTACTCCACTTTCGCATCGAACTCCGAGCTCCTTTCCA